TTATGAGAAAAAAGTGTGATCAAAATAGTTGTAATATGGGAAAAACACAATAATTGGAGAATAATTCATATGTGTGAGGAAGAAAATTATGTACAGTCTCACAGAGTTTGGTTAGGACTTCAGTTTCACCTTCCTATGATCTGTACTCAGCTGTGGTTGGTGTTTCCACACTACCGCTCTCCCACAGGTGCCAAACCATAGACTGCAAATGAAGATGAAAGACATGTCTCCATTTCCTTCCACTATCCAGAAATTAATATATCAAATATCCTGAATACGAACGCTGCCAACTTGCACTGTTGATGTCATTTGGAGTCAGAGTCTGTGTGGTAGCAATCAAGGAAAGGAGCAGTGGTATCAAGGTCCCACCCAAATATGTCCTTGACCAATCACGAGTCATCCTCAGCTGTCAATAATGACTTTTCACTGAGTTTTTATATCATCCAACCAATGAATTAAAACCAAACTTATCAGAAACATAAACACTTGGACAAACATCATTGTGATAAGGAACTACCCAAAACGACTGAAACCCTCTTTGAGAAAACCTATTTAAAGCGTTATTTGATTTTTTAGTTTGGTCCATGTCCCATCCTCTGACATGGAGGCGGCAGGGTTATGACTTATTGCATCCAGCCATCAGAGGGCGATCAAAACACTTTGACTTCAGTTTTGGGAGCTGTCATGTTGTCTATCTTTATTTACAAATTATGATATCAATGCTGAAAAAACCCCAAACAATGTCTAAACATCCTCAGAGGTCAAAATATGTTGAAAAATAAAAAAATGAATTGATGTCAGGTCGCAATGTCAGTGTTGTCGCTATATGTGCCTTGAATTTCAGACAATAATTATATCTCGTCTTATGCAACCAAAACTTTTTGGTTGCTTTTCTGCACCGTGCATGAGCAGGTTAGAGGTCAAACAGAGGTCAGAGGTCAACTGCACTCCAATTGCTGCACCAGAGGCCGAACCAGTCTCCAGTGACAATCGAGACATCGACTCGACCACACCTGAACCACCAGAGATCGTGTCTGCCGCTGCCTGTGAACCACCGATCCATCCAACTCCTGACAGTGACACTTCCAATATGGCTGACCCAGCCCCTGACGACAACAAGTTCCTGTTTCTCGAAAATGATTTCCGTAACAGCGGCGTGGCGCAAGCCGACTGGGCGGCCAAGAAGATGGTGTGGGTGCCGTCAGAGAGGGAGGGCTTCGAGCCCGCCAGCATCAAGGAGGAAAAGGGCGATGAGGTAACGATTAAGTAATTTTTAAAACAAGTATTTTAACCCTTTAATGGTCTCACCCAGGAAAAAGAACATTCTTGTTTCTTCCTCTGGGAACGAATATTAGTCTTTTTTTCTCACTGTGGTGTCACTTCCTGGAAAATCTTCAAATGCTTCACGTCTGAAATTGAGTTATAACTTAAAGGTACAATGTGTAGAATTATGTGATATCTAGTGTTGACATTGCATGTTGCAGCTGAACACCCCTCACCTCACCCTCTCCTTCCAAACATGAAAAAGAAGCTGTGGTAGCTTCAGTTGTCATAAAAACTCAAAAGGTGTTTAGTTTGTCCAGTCTGGACTAATGTAAAAAACATGGTGGCCTCCGTAGAGAGGACCCCCTCGATGTTAATATAAAGTATTTAAATATAAAGGACCTTTTCTGGGGTAAAGAAAACTACAATTCATACAATTTAGATGAAACAATCTAGTGAAAAAATCATGAGGATTATTCTACATTATATTTCTGCCAATAGTTCCCTTTCACCTAAATCTTACACACTGGA